GACTTGACTCAGCCACGGGTTCCGTGAGTGATGGAGCTGTGATCCAGGTTCTGCGTGGGCTCAGAGCCCAGGCTCTCTCTACTGCACCCTCCACCTCCAGGTTGGGAACTGGGCACCCTGCTTTCAGCCTCTGTTCTCAGATCTGCAATAACAGGTGTTGAATGAATGATGGATCATGTTGAATAAATGAATGGTTGGGTGCACCTGGGTCTTGAATGAAACATGGGGGTGCCCCCTGGGGCAGCGGATGGGGTAAAGGGGCACCAAAATGCCCATCTCGCTCAAGAGCAGAACTGTCTCTGTGACTCATTGGCCACAGTGAGCCCCCCTGCAGTTAGTAAGAGAATCAAAAGGAGACACAAAGGAACAGCCTGAAATGGCAAACAAGGAGAGATGGGTGACCCAGTGTGGGGCCTGTGGCGTAGGGCCTAGGAAGTGCCAAGCCTTCCTGCAAGAAGCATCACTCTTAGGAATAAGAGCAGCTGCTCCCGATGGAGAGGACTCCAAGCCAGGCCACTGCCACAACCACTGCCTTCTAACTCTCATGTCCCTCCTGTCCCCAGGAAGACACCAGTGGCGACTACAAGAACGCCCTGCTGAACCTGGTGGGCAACGACCTCTGAAGGCTCAGAAGGACAAGCGCAAAGGCCAAGAAGGCGGAGGCGTTGGATCCTGCTTGCTGAAACTTGGCCGTGGATCGGGGTGGGGGTGGGGGGGAGCCAGAGCACGCCCTTCAGTCTTCTATCTCCCAGCTTCCAGTGTTTTCCAGCCAGTTCCTCTGACCCAGGGGGAAGGGTCAGCCTGGGGCTCCTACCTCCGCCGAACTCCCAAGTCAATTTCAGGTGTGAACACACGGCCAGTATCTCAGCACAGATCTGGCCTGACAAGTGCCTCCGCCTGAAGGGTCTGCAGGTGCTGGGCCTCACTTCTTCCTTCCTGCACAGAAGCTTCCTCAGCCTGGGCCACAGAGTCCCCTCGGCGCAAGCTACAGAGAAACTCAGCCCCACCCTCATCTACTGATCTGGATCTGCAGAGAAGGGACCAGGGAACGTGGAATTTTGATAAGTCTCAGGAGGATGGTATAGCTCAGTGGTAGAGCGCACGCTTAGCATGTGCGGGGTCCTGAGTTCAATCCCCAGTTCCTCCATTTAAAAAAATTAAAAATTAATAAATAAATAAACAAACCTAATTACCTACCCTCTCCTCACTCCCAAAAAAAAAGCAAAAAAAAAA